TATATTTCAAAAATCAATTTACAAAACAGATATTTAAAGTTTACAGTCTATTAAGTACAGTTAAAATTATAAAAATTATACGCTGCGAGCCGGATTTTTTGATAACTTACAAAGGCAGACTTAAAATGACATTTCGTTTCGGAAATTTTTACGATGAATCAGGAAACAAGGAAAAAGTAGAGAATAACAGTACAAAATGTATGGTATAATTCCTTATTGCGTTTTTTCCCATACATTTATGATTATACAACTACGAGAGACTCAGTCCCTGAATGTTTACATCCTTTTTAAGTAGAACTCTAAAGAGATTTATAGGATAGATTTGTAAAGATTTATAATCATAATTAGCACCTTTTGGGAGTTCCATATACTTCATTAGTTTAGGGTGTATGTATAATAGTGGTGGCCAAACCTTGCGAGGATAGGAGCCATATAGGGTAGATGCACTAGTACATCTAGTAGTAACAGAAGCAATAAAGTAAGTAGAGTTCAATCTTTTGTTTAATATTCAAACAATTTTTGCGCCACTGGTTAGAAAATTTCATTTACTTAATACAGAGAATCCTCGTTGAGTGTTCGAAGGCTCCTCGGCACTGAATATTAAGTATCTCATAAACTAATGGCCATATGCGACTGACACAAATATCATTAGCATCAGCATTCCAAGCTCTACCAATACGCTAAACATCATTTATTCTCGGAGTACGGACGTTTTTAACGTTCGTAGAGACAGTCGTGTCTGGATCCGTCTATGAAACTCTGTTCTTCCTTCTTTCTAAACATACTTTCGAACGCGATCATTCAAAAACACCTGCTTTTTTATATGACTAAATATGAACAACTTCTGGCGTAAATTATATTTACAAATCGATGAGTTAGATACGGCTTTTAAACACTCCGGTCTAAATAGACCCGGTAACCGTACTCCAAGGGTTAAAAAGTCAGCGTTACACCAGGGAACCTCTCCGTGGTAGTGCCGTGGAGCCTTTGAACACTCATTAAAGATTTACTGTACCTACTGTTTATTCACTGGTGAAATCTGTATTTTTTCTTCTAAATTTAATTAATCACATTTTTACAATTTTTCAACTTGAAATCTATACGTTCTAAAATGGTATAAATGTTATAAAATCTAATTTTCATGTGCCAAATATTTATTAATACTATTATTATTTAAAAATTCGACTTCGATAATCACGAAATCTCTTAAGTGTTCATTCATTCGTGCATTTACTATATTGCCTATCAGAAATACTCGAGAGTTGCAATCCTCTGTTGGAACGGTATAGAATTAATTGCAAGTCACGCTTACAATCTGTGTGTATATTACACTGTATAAGAAAGTCAGGAAATTTACAAAAATATCATATTACGTACGTGTATGTATTATGTGTCTAGTTTATCAAAAAATATTGTACAAGTATATGAGAGCTGCAGTATGGATCTAAAACATCCGTGTGCGGCCTGCAAACCACAAATTGGCCACCATGGCTATATGTGTAACATTTTCTCGTAAATTGCTTACTTAGAGTAGATAACATTAATTGAATAAAATAATCACTTGCAGCTTCAAGGTGCGGGGCACCTTTTGCACCCCCGCCATGAACGGTCCTGCGCAGTAGTCACGGTGTTTCTTGAATGACGTTAATCGTAATCCTGCCAAATGGATTTGACCGGTTCTCACGGACGGTGTTTCGCTAAACTTTCCAACAAATGAATCACTCGGTTGAACGTACTAATTGGCACGTACCTCAGAAGTCTATAAACCAGCGATCATTTGGGCGTTAAGTGCAATTCTGCGATGTTGTTTACTCGCTTACTCCGCCACCCAGCGTGTCAGCCCAATTTTTTTTAGTTTATTTTAGTTATAAGTTAAGTTTGCGTATTTTTTAAATTCCTACTTTGTACAACTATACTATAATTTACAAAAATTGTTGTCTTCGGATATCATACCTAATATATGTAAGAAATAGTTGAAAGTGTCCGGGTTTGAAGTAGAAATATCTGGGGTTTTAATGCTCTCTGTCCGTGATTAATGACTTTACGGATGGCAACCCTACCCATGCCTACTGATTGTAGTATTGAAAGTATTTATGTGTATACCTCCAAAAAGTTGTTCAGAATGATGACCTTGACAACATATTTCAAGGTCATTGAAATCGGTGAGGAAGTCAAACTTCTAAACAATTACCTTATTATTTATCGGAACAAACTAAATAAGTACGAATTAACTGGCAACTTTGGTCATTATTTCTTAATTTTATCACAACAAAGACTTTGTAAAACGGAGAAACAAGTTGTAATAAAATAAGTATGACAAACAATGTTCAACAATTTTCTCTTTGGGTTTGCAATACTGAATAATCATAAATTGGAAATCTTTTTTGTAATAAAGGTAACTGGAGCTATATTAATGAAATTTTTTTATTCGTCGTATGAACGAAGTGAGTTGCCGCATTTTGTAGCGGTATTTGAATATAATCGGCAGAGCATATGTCGACTATAACTTCTTGGGGCCGATTAATCAGCTAGTGGGCAATTCTTTTTTAAAATACGATATAAGAATGAAATAATTGCTGTAGCCTGAATATCTGCTGTTACAGCATGTAGCCCCTTCTATATGCTGTTAAGAGTTTTTGGTGTCGTCTTTTCACACACATATTTATTTATGTTTTAAGAATATTCAAAATCTTTATTACATTAGAATAATCAAAATTGCCTGAATTATAAATCATTTGGTACGATTCCTTAACCTCTTGAGGGATACTGGCACATATGCGTACGTTTAGTTTTCCTTTCATTCAAGCATAATTCAGAAACTGTAATTAAACATTCACTAGGAAATTCCTCAACAAAAAAGGACATTGTACCAATTGATTGTCGTTAATGTTTATAAATATGTTTTAATTACATACAGTCGAAGAATACAAAAAAATATTCGTTGTGGTCTTAATAAATTTGTCGCTGAAGAGGTTAAAAAACGTGTCCCATTGGCTGACACGATGCCAGCCATACTACTTATTTGAAACTAAAAAAGGGAAAAAGATTTTTGGTTAGTACGAGTGTGGCTATGGTGTCTACCAGGATGAAAGAAATATCAAAAATTTGAAACTGACGACACTTTTAAAGTTTGAATATCGATTTTCTCGACTTTTTTCGGATGTATTCAAAATACCTTCAATAGGTGCATTATTCTTCAATTTTATTATCATAAAAGAAGTTTTAAGTATAGTTTTCCTTCGTTATATTTTATATCTATAATACATATGTATCTGTTACGGAGAATGAACGAGTTCTTCCAGAAAGATCAGTTGTATCAAAATGATATTTATAACTACATTGCCAAAGCAATGCACGTCTCAGGATGCGTAAGAATGAAGTTACACTTGTTTTGGAATTCGTCTTCTTCATAATACATATGTGTAATGAATTGTATATTATATTCATTTATTCCAAAACTATGAAAGTTTCAATTTTATTACATTATACGTATATCTTTTACGTCACAGAGTTTATGTTGCACAGTGTATTCTTACTCCCTACATTAATTTCTTATTTATGGTACTCGTTTTTTAGACAATGAATAAATAATTTCTACTTGTGTTTGAATTTTAAGATACTTTTACCACACAATCGATCACATATAACAATCTTACGAATTCATGAAACGTTTCTATCTGATCTTTCAATTAAAAGAGGTTTTATCTACCACATACACATCTTTTTTACACTCGACAATATGTGCAGTGCGTTTACAGTGGTTTATTGGTCTGTATAGTGGTGTCAGTGAAATAGTTATAATGTTTAATTATATCGTATCATCGAAATTCCTCGATAGAAACTAACTGCTCCACTTAAACGAAATAGACTGAGTGAGAAATAGCAAATTGTGTCACCATCTATTGTTGCAACCTATAATAAAATAGAAATCATGCATCTCCGAGATAAATTACTTAAATCTTTGTCTCGACACTCACAAATTTTCAAATTGGAGTTCCTCCAAACCGATGTCTGGGATGAAAAGGTTTAACTTCTCGTTTTCAATATCTTTTATCAAAGAATTCTCCTTTTTATCGTACTTGAAATGTCTACCTCGATAACAAGGAAGAATAATTTTACGAAACACAAAGGAAAAGCGATTCGTTTTTACGATATATAATTATTTTACATAGTTATAACATATTAATTAAAATAAAATTTGTCAAACTGTTATTATATAAATTTTTCAAATAATTTATTATGAAATCGTTCATATAATTTATATTTATACTGATTAAAATGCCAGGACGTTCAGATCAGCAACAGACCAAATACATACATAATTTTTAATAGCGCCGCTTATTTGACATCGTTTCTCATTCCAATGCAGCAAAGTAAGGTAATTTACACTATTTGCCAAATGTATAAGGTGAAATATGTCATAGATATATGTAGGTAGAGTTCTGAACCAAACATGTATGTGTAGTAAATAGCATTTTGTCTCTCAAATTATTTTCCATTCAAATTAAGTACTGCTGAATTCAATATGTCAATATTTCATTATAAAACAGGTAATGTACATGTATTTGCATTAAAAGTAAGCAAAAGGATGTTCAGTTCAAAGTCTTCGAAAGCACATAATCTACTGTATCCAGAAAATAATATAATTATAAATTAAGATATAATTTAGATAATTTGAAGTTATCTTTAAACATACACTACATTGAGGTTTAGACAATCGTACGACTCGGTCATAATGTCAGACAGAAAGGTATATTTATTAAACGTAAAAAGCCTCCAAGGGTACTCATTGTCGCTCTTAAATTCGGTGCATTCTTCGGGTCACTACTGTTGTTACAAACTTAATCATTGCCCGTATCATAGTGAGCATAAATTACAAATCAAGTTATCCTATACATTTGGTCATAGGGTATTTTCGTGGCGCTGTGTGAATTAAGAAAAACATTCTAGGGTAAAGAATAAACAAAAATCAATCAGTTTTTGTTTTGTTTACGCATTAGATCGACCAGTAGTAGAAATTGTGCAGGATCATGGCTGCGACTTCTCCCATGCTCGCACCCAGCCGTGAAGGATGTTCAACACAGGGACATCCACGAAGTTTCAGGAGACGTTGTCCCTATCAATATGGTGAAGGGTATTGGTCATTTAAGGGATCCCCGACTTAATAAGGTGAATATTTCATTTCTTCCATTAAATCTCTCAAATAGTATACGTAAAATGTAAAAAATATGTAGATAAAAACTTAAAAACTTACGAAAACAATGAAGCAATTTGACGATTCTTCCCTTAGAGTGACCAAAACGTGTTGAAAATTACATCGATTTACAGCATGTTTCTAATTAACACTGGAACTACCAAATCCGTCGAAATGACGGATTTCAAATTTTTTATTTTATAATTACTGAAGTCATAAAGGTGCTTTCGTCGGAATTGCTGTCAACCTTTAATATATTAGACAATTTACATTATACTATAGTATATTATATCGTATTATATGTATATTATACATATTCATATACATTTTAATATATTTAATGCTGGTAGTTGTAATGTTAAAGGTAGACTTTGATTCCGCCTTTTGTCTTCTACACGCGATATCTTTATTAAATAATGTTATACTTATAATTGTTATCTATAACCATGTACTATTGACCAGGGTTTGGCATTTACTCTAAAAGAGAGGATATCCTTGGGTATACACGGTCTGCAGCCTCCGAGATTCAAAACTCAGGAAGAACAGCTGGCTCTGTGCAAGGCTTCAGTTATGAAATATACCGAGGATTTAAACCGGTATCTTTACCTCGTGGAACTTCAGGTAAAGTAAAATAAAAAATCAAATAGATCTGTTTAACATCTATGATGGAACCTCAATAATTAATCAAAAACGGGTATTTATATATGTATATGGACATATGTATGTTTGTGTACTGTAACTACCCAAAGCGTAATAGTGAATTAAATTTTTGTTCTTGATACATAATTTTAGTACATTTTCAGTATTTCGATGGTATATTCATCTTTGGCATTGGTTTTAAAATTTATATAAATCTACGGAGATTATATAGCATGAATTATGTAATTAATTAGAAATAATAAATTATAACACAACATACATTTTATAGTAACTATATCACATAATATATTAACTGTACAACATAAATATATTTAGAAATAATTATATGTTCAAAATATGCTGTTTGCCACAGGAAAGAAATGAGAGATTATTTTTCCGTCTGCTAAGTGAGAACATTGAGCAAATGATGCCAATTGTTTATACGCCTACCGTGGGATTAGCCTGTCAGAAGTTTGGAGTCATTTATCGCAGACCTCGTGGGTTATTTATTACAATATACGATAAAGGCCATATTTATGAGATCCTGAACAACTGGTACGTGCTATACAAACTTCAGCATAGTTATTAAATACCTTTTTTTACATAAAAAATTCCATACACTTGTTTACTTGTGTATGTAAAGCAAAAATCGTACAGTTTCCTAAATTTAAAAATTCATGAATCATTTAGAAACCTCAAATTGTACCATCTAAATTTTCGCGTAAAGTAGAGCACATGTGTCGATAGCTGTATTCTTAACTCAATTTCTGGTACCCCTTTTATGTGTGCAGATGTTTTGTACATGGAACAGGAACATACAAATGCTCTACGAAAATTCTACCAATAACACTCAGACATGTTATAATTTCTTCATCTTTCATTTTGTTAGTTATACTCATACAATACACTTAAAATTGATTCCAAAAGTATCATGTCGATACATTACAGTTTATAGAGAAGAAGCGAAAGAACTTTACGATAATTGGTTTTTCTAAAATAACAGAAATAATAGGAATTATGTAAACATGTGATATGACCCCTTAATCATTTACATATATATAGAACTATAACAATTATGCAACATATCATTATATCATAACGTAGTATATACAATATGTAAAATTAAACAATTCCAATACTTTTGAATATATGAATCATTTTCTAGGAATATTTACGCATTTCCAAACATTATTTTATTTATATATAATGTTGAACACCATTGTCAAAATAATGATTTCGCACTTTTCATTGTTTAACGCATAAAAGTTTATACGAATAAATTATGTTAACTTTAATTTTCAAATTCAGGCCTGAACAAGCAGTTCGTGCTATTTGTGTAACTGACGGAGAAAGAATTCTGGGTCTCGGTGACCTGGGAGCTTGCGGAATGGGCATTCCCGTCGGAAAATTAGCTCTTTACACTGCCCTGGCTGGCATTAAACCGCATCAGTGTCTACCAATTACCATTGACGTAGGCACTAATAACGATCAACTCAGAAACGATCCTCATTACATCGGTCTTAACAAGACGAGAAGTCAGGGCGCGGAATACGATGAGTTAATCGACGAGTTTATGGCAGCCTGTGTGAAAAAATACGGTCAAAATGTGTTGATTCAAGTACGATGGCAAAAGAAGCCCATTTCTTATCCTGACTTTGCTTCTCCACCCCGATATACTCCTCACGCCTATTAATAATTACAGTTCGAAGATTTCGGAAACCACAATGCCTTTCGTTTCTTAGACAAGTACCGTGACAAGTATTGTACATTTAACGATGATATACAAGGCACGGCCGCGGTTGCTGTAGCTGGAATTTTAGCATCAAAGAGGGTGACGAAAAAAAAAATGTGTCAGAATACGTTCGTCTTTTTAGGCGCTGGCGAGGTATGTAACGCTTGTAATAAACTTCAAATTTGCCAATTTTATTTACGAGGAGACTTGATACAGGAAGGCGACTTTTTATTAAGACGTATTAGAAATAATATATTTTAAGGATCTGTTTATGAAACTCCATCATTTTATGTACAGGGTGCGCCAATACTTATAGTACATATCCTTATGAGTTGATTTCTTGTGCAAAAATTGGTTAAACTTGACAAATAAATTTGACATAAAATGAATTTTGAAAATTCATCTAATACACATACATTTGACTACCATTAGTGGACTATGGATATTTATGCAAAATCATATCTATAAATAAACGTAAGAATGAAATAGACGTCTGTTTCCGATAATAATAGTGTTACTAGGTAAACACTAGATGATAGTTAAACTCAATAAAAAATTAAAGTTTTATTCTATTGCATTTTACCGAATGATAAAAAACGTATAAATACATAAAATGCTTAGGCAAGACACATTAAATGTTGAAACTCCATTTTTTCGAAAATATAACAATAATAAGAATATACCATTTTATGTTTTCGACGTTGTTTTTTCGACAGGAATTAGGTGACATGTATTTATACCAACAGTACTGCCACATCCTATATGTATATGTATACGTGCATGTAACTGCTCATTTCCTGCTGTGTGGTTGATTAAAATAGTAACGTGTTCTCCTTTGTTACTAATAGAACATTTATAGCTAAGAACGTGTAGCACACTTTGTAGAGGAAATTTAGACTGCAACTTGATTCATTAAAACAGCAATTCCCTTTCTGCTTTGATTTGTCATCATACTTTCAGTAAAATTTATTTTACTATTCGCAGGCAGCTATCGGAATAGCTGACCTTTGCGTTAAAGCAATGGAAGCGGATGGATGTACAGAACAGGAGGCTCGCGATAATATTTGGATGATGGATATCGACGGATTGCTCGTTGAAAAACGACCGGAAGGTAACCTCGATGGGCACAAGGTCTGGTACGCGAAAAATCATAAAGTGGTGAAGTCACTGCTTGAGCTTGTGAAAGAAGTAAAACCAACCGTTCTGATTGGTGCGTAACCCTTTGTTTATTAACATGCATCGATTTCTGTCTAAAGTAGAAATATCCTAACAGGCGCATCGGCAGCAGCGGGAGCATTCACTCCTGAAGTCTTGAAAGAAATGGCCAAGAACAACGAGAGACCGTTGATCTTTGCGCTGAGCAATCCAACTAGCAAAGCCGAGTGCACGGCTCAACAAGCTTACGATTACACGGATGTACGAAAATTATTTAATAGTGTTATAATGAAAAAGATAAAAATATATGTTTTACAGTGATTGTTCCAACTATAGTAGAGCCTACCGTATCCAAGCAACCATTTTTACTAATACTATACTTCCTCAACTTTAATAGAGATCAAGAAAATTGACAGACTGTTTAAATATTTATGAATTTCATATCTTTTTGTCTACTAAATTAGAGAAATTTTTAAAACATGCATTGTACGTACACGCTACATATTTGCAATAGGACAAGACATCTGTTGCTGAGAGATATTCGGTTTGGAAAACAGAATGTTCGAATGTTAGGGTGTTCGAATACGGGAGGCTCTACTGTTTTCGTATTTTGAAAGAATAGTACCGTTTAAAGTAACTAAATGTAATAAAAATGAATCTTGAAGTAATATTGCAAAAAAATGTTTACATTTCAGGGAAGATGCATCTTCTCCTCGGGTTCTCCGTTCGGTGAAGTGAAATACAATGGGAAGGTCTACAAACCTGGCCAAGGAAATAATGCATACATATTCCCTGGAATTGCATTGGGAGTTATCGCGACCGGAGTTCATCATATTACGGAAGATTTATTCCTTATTTCAGCCCAAGCAGTTGCCGATCATGTAAAGGACGAAGATCTTGCTATGGGTAGCCTCTATCCACCATTGGGTACAATTCGTGAATGCTCGATAGATATTGCTATTCGAATTGCCGACTACGCTTACGCGAAAAGTAAGTGCTCTGCCTACCTGAAAACCCATTTTACATTAATTAAAATCTTATTCGCATACATATTATTCACAGTGTGGTAACCGTTGTCTTATATTTCAGCTGGACTGGCTAGTGAATACCCAGAACCTAAAGACAAACGGAATTTTATTGTGAGTAAAATGTACGATGCCAACTATGATAGTCCACTGCCAAACCTTTACGACTGGCCGTGCGATTATGCTCAACCTCGTATTTTACCAGAGAAGTAAGTACCTTGACATCTTTACTAGGTAAACGAGCATAATTTCCCCATAGCATTCACGATACCACTACAGCAATATGTTAGATACATAGTAGGAAGCGTTTTAGAGATAGTTTACAGAACTGAAGAAATGCCACGTTGATCAATAGCAAATAGCAGCAACAGTTAGAATGTAGAAAAGAGCAATAACACGAAAAATAGTGAGTTTAAGAAAAAAGCAAGATTGCAGTAATACCACAATTGGCGTCGTAGTTTCAGCTACACGATTATCTAACCGTAGCACGCGGCTTTTTAATCCTTTCTCTCGCATTTTTTGTTGTAGTGACGGCTAAATAATTTTCTATAGTGCTTACTCTTTGAAAACTGCGAAAACTATTGTTTTTTTTTAAATCAAAATTTTTAAGTAGCTGCAACGTAATTAACCTTGAGCGCTTACTACTACTATAGTAATACTTGCACACTAATATATTCTCTTTATATGCGAAGAAAAAGGCTATAATCGCCATTTAAAAAAAGAAACAGCTGTAATTATTTATTAAGAAAAATGTAATATAAGGATCGATAGAAAAAAAGTCGAACATTTTTCTTCGCAATTTAAACTTCCTATAGCAATGGCTTATTATTGAAAGTTGTGTAGTTCCGTTATCGGTTAGCGATAATATTTATTTATCACCAGCTTGTCGCTAGTCAGTGACTGACTTCGGTGCAGGCCGCTGAAGCTTAATTAATTTTTTTCAGAGACACTGTAGAAATCCGCCACGATTTAAAACATCTGTAGCGGGTTTCATCGAGCGGGATATTCAGAGGCTATCATTATTACCATTATCGCTAAACGAAAAAAAAAAAATACAAAATTATTGCTGTGTCCTGAATTGAAAAATATGTGACAGGTCATAGCAGACAGACAACAGTGCAGTTTAAAACAGTTTTAGCTGTAAGGACTGTTACTTCTGTCAGTGACTAATGTCAGTGCTTTTTACAATGTAACTTGCACGATGTGTAAAAGCACGGCAAATGAACCGATGACATAGTGCTATTGTTACAGCATTGAATATCGCTGTATGCTAACATTGCAGTATTTGAATGTCCTCCTTCATCCTTATACGCAGTATGTATTACGATCGCTAGTTTATTCCCCAGAAACGTGATAGATAGTTAACCATTGAAAGTATTTGAAGAGAGTTTATAGAATTGTTGTTGTTATGCATACCTTCGCAAGTATGCTGTATAACACGAAATGAACGGTAATACGTTGCTTCATGGACTGAAGCATAACAAGTGTAGTAAATGATGATTTTACAATGTACATTATTTAATAAATCGGCATTTGTGTAGTGAAATTTTTCGATCGAGTAGTCGATCATACAAATAAAAGTTCTAATGAAAAACTTCAAGAATACAAAAATCTACCACGAATGAGTGTATATTCTGTTGTTCTGTCATATTGAAATTTTAGTTCTTCGAAGAAGAGTTCTCTCCTAACAATTTTACTCTGCGAAACTAATGAATTTCGGATGTAAAATAAATTTCTCATTGTGTTTAAGGTGGGCCGATTTTACCTTTACGGATGATCCCAAAAATAATCAGTTGGAAGCACCCAAATCCTTTCCACAAAACTAGAAAACTTCGTAACATGCTTATACTTTGCAATATGGATGTGTCCTGAATGAACTAACCAAAACCTTCCTAGTTCCTCCCGAGAAGACAAAAAAACTTCCAAAACGCAAACCTTCTATTTAATGTGCTTGTACTTTGCAGTGTTTTATATACTTGTACACAGTGCTCTGCTAACCATATGTGTTTTATTTAAGAGCTTAAATAAAGATTATTTATAAATATATAAATCGCAAAAGAGTTGCACGAAACGACTGCTGTTTGCAGCTTGTTAATAAATATATATTGGTATCATCTTTACAATTGGCATTGATTTTTAATTAGAAAGGTTTTTCGTGTTTCATGTTTTCTTTTTGTACACCGGGTGAACTGTAATTCATGACACAAGCTGTTAATTTTTACATAAAAATAAGTTGAAAGTATAACAGAAACATCTGTGTGCGAGGCTTTGGTTTTACAAAATGAGCAGATCGTTACGTTTTCTTGAAAGAGTTTTTACAGGTTTGATCTAGTATGAACCCGATTTAATAATTTTTAAGAAAAATCTTTTTCTTGTATGGTGTAGTACAAAACTCTATTTCGTTTCCCTATACAGAATGAATTTGAAAGGTGAAAGAACTTACGTTGGTATTTATTACATTAGCAATTGTTACATATTTACACAAATAAAATAATTACAAAAAGTTTATAGTATTGTGGAAAACAATTTCGGATATTTTCCTCAAAATTACGTGCAACTTTTTGACGCCCACCATTCATTATAGTATATTTATATAATTTGATGCGTGTATAATTAGAAATCATGTAAGAGTATTGTATAGAAATCAAATAGAATCAATAACAACATGACTAATTCTACTCAATTTTATGTTCTAGAATATCACCATAAATTTTAGTGTTATTGATTTATCCTTCCACCGGAAGTATGTCACTCTCTTTACTATAAACTATTTTCTCAAGCTTGATATATTTTTAAAGAAAGCCTCACACACACACACAATTACTTGAATTTAATTTTGAAAGGAAAATCAGCTATTTTTGGATTATGACATGATTTACTAGACATCCAATATTTTGCGGGTAATCTGCAAATGAAGCGATCGATTCGGCATCGATCCCACCTGAAATCATTTTCAAATTTATTTGTAATGATCGTACGTTTGAAAGTGCCGAACATCGCATGTACAAAATATTTTATATTTCGTATAAGATGTCGAGGGATTATTAAAATGTTTACGCTCGTAAACATCGACGCAATTACATATTTATTCCTGAGACGTTCTCGGTCTTCCTATCTTTCGAATGAACGGGTGACATCATTCAGCAATTTAATACGAAAAATTAGAAAATAATAAAATTAGAAATAAGAAACGCCCCTCTTGGCTGTTAATATTTCATTCTAGAATAAGAAACAGTTTACTCTCGAGTCTCGCATGGCGTATAAGACGTAATCGTAAGAAACCTTAGAAATGTGGTACTCGTGCATAATATGTGCTTGTTATGTGTCATAATATAATTAATCGTTAACTAGCAAGAATGCCAATTATTGAGTCTATGTTATATGTATAATACTCATGATAACGTTTGCTGCCACGAATTTGATTGTTTGATTTCATTGTGTAGACGTGAATATGGTAGCAAGTTCAGCCAAGCGACCCGAGCTTATTTCACGATAGATGGATATTAGGAAGTAATTGAAACTGATGTGCTCGCGTTCCAATCCCATTTTTTGTTATACAGGGTGTTCGTCAACAGAGGGGAGAACATTTAAAGGGCGATTGTACATGACAAATTAAAACTACGTTCAAGAATGACGAAATTTCCGTTATGCCTTCGTTTTTAGTTATAAGCATTTAAAATGAAAACTTCATGAAAGTAGTTAAATCGTAGACTAATATCGTTGATTTAGTCTACGTTTCTCTATTTCTAAATTTCTCGTTCTAAATTTCTACAGACCTGTACTTGTTGGTTGTCTGCGGATTACCTACTTTCAAGCAGTTTTTACCATATTTTTGAACTAAGTTTAACTAAGAAACAGGCTCGACGGCAGTTTTGTTATTCTTTATTTTCGTCTTATTTAGTGTTGTACAATTAATCCCTTAAATTTTCTCCCACCTGTTGCTGAACACCCTAGATACGTACTCGAAGTTCGATACGTCCGTCATGAAGTCGCTTGGTTAAACGAATACTACTGGAAGATCATTATGTCAATACTAACCGTGTTCTTCTCCCAACAGATTATGACGTGTTGGCGAGTTTAAAGACCAGGTGACCAGTCTGACGTATACAAACATGTTTTAAGATAATATCGTTCATCGAGGAATTAAATAAATGTCTTGTATTGTGAACAGGTCTGTGACTCTTCGGTAGATGTATAATGTAAAATGTGTCCGGAAATGACGATTTCAATCCATCTTTACTCGTCAATATTCTGTACTGTGTACTTATTTATTACTAATTTAGTATCATAATTGTACTCTGTGACGATGTATACGTTTCCAGTATTCAAACTATTCATTGATTTCGCGAGTGAACTTTATGGATTGTTTCACCTGAAACTATTTATTTTATTTATTTATACGCTGCATTTTTTTGCGTACTGCTTTAAGTCCGGTGAGTAAGTGTGAAACACAACAAAACTACGGTCCACTTTGTAAGTCACGCCATGAACAGAAATTAATGAATAGTTGCTTTGGGAGTGATGTTCACGGGTTGTTCTGGTATTTCTCTTGCATCATAGCTGATACCGCATCACGTATTTACGTATGTACGCCTTATGCATATTTATGTATAAACGTAGTACAGCACGATGTGGTCTAAGTGACCTTCACGAAGGATTCACCCGTGGACAGCACTGGCTTATGGTAATTGTACCTCAGTAACGTATAACTGATTATTAATTATATTAAGTTCTGTGGTGATCGTCAATTTTTAATTTAATGCACGTATTAAATAAATAATTGTGTTGGAAAGAATTGATCGTTTAGATTAAATGTTCTATTACGCTGGATATACTGCATACAGCTGTGCAAAATATTTCACCATCTCTTCAATTTAATAAAGTGATTTTAAGGATTATAATCAGGACAAGCAAGAGACAACGTTCTAAAAGTCGTATTTTTTGTACCATACCGTAATTGTCAGTCTTACTTTAAGTAAATATACGAAATGAAAATTCTGTCACAAGGTTCCTATATATGTGTTGTTATGCATATGAAATACAACTTTCGATCAACAATATCGATTAGATTGTAATTACTGCGACACTGCAAACGTAAGGGAAAAAACTTGTTACGATCTGTTCAAATTAGCACTATACATGTGTGCATACAGCACGTGAATTTATCGTTGATGTACCAGTGAGAAAGAAACGCAAAACTAAGTTATTTAAACAGAAGTTCTCGTTCGTTAGAATTTGTTACCGGGCGTATAAATTAAACTCTAAGGCTATGAATAAATGTTAAATCGTGATCGTTAGCGCGTCTGTTTATTTCTCATATTCCTCTCTTTGAACGATCTTTATGAAGAGGCTATAGTCAAGCGCGGGAAGAATTACAATATTGTGTTTATTAAACAAAACTATGAATATTATTCAAGTATGTACACAATTATAAAAATTATTTCTGTTATTAAATATTTTCATCCCTTTTACATTTGCATGCATAAAATTTATCTACATAACAGATATCAACATGTCTCAGCCACAGTATGAAATGCAAATAGCACCAATGAATTCTGATAAATTCATTTTGTAGTGGCATATTTGCTTCAAACATCAATCCCCCTGTCTATGTTAGTACTTAAACTAGACTTTCAAGTACTAACTTTTTATTTAAGTGTTGGGATTAACCCTTATTCAATAGCATAGAATATATTGTGCATGGAAGAGATGCATTATGGCTATGGATACAGTGTTTTTATATGGCTAAAATTACTTGATTAATTTTATTTGGGCCTCCAATATGCAAGTATACAAAAAGTATATCAAACTTGATCCTGAGCTCTAAAATTTCAATATTGAAGCATCTTACCATCTGCACACTCTTTGGATTTTCTAAGTTCAATCTCTTCCACTAACAATATATTATATTCACTTTAGGCACTGTTATAATTATTTATGTCAAAGTCAGAATCATTATCATCATACATCAAGTCGAGGTCATCGAGGCTTTGGAAAAGACTTTCATCTACCTTAACTGCATCGCCTACAAATGAAGAAATCAGTTGTTTTATACTCCTTCCATATATTTTTTTATAATTCAACTTGGCTTAAATGAATTATATATTCCAAAGTAATACCATCATTTAAGAATTTTAGATCAGACTGATCCAATGTTTTATCAGTCATAAATAATTCTCTGCCAGTTAATTTTTTTCCTTCGCGTTCAGCCATTTCTCTACGTTTAGTATATCCCATTTCTTCATCAAACTTTTCTTTCCAACTTAAAAATGTTTCCACGGTAACTCGAGTTCCCTCAAACTTTTTCTGTAGAAATAAAAAGAAAATTAACTTTATGTCCACATATTTAAAACTTACATGTACATTACCCTTTCTGCTTCTTCTTCTTCTTTAAGTTTCTTTGCTGCAGATTCTTCCCTATTTAATTTGATTTTATCCCACTGACAATTAAGCCATTCCTGTGCAGCACTAACTAACGTGAATACCATAACCATTCCAAGATTTTCATTCATTTCTTCTATTAAATGGTCCTTTAGTCGTTCATCGCTTTCCTCTTCAAAATTCTCTTGTTCTTCTATAGCTACAAGGAGTGGTTCATCTGGATAGTTTGCAGTATATGTAAATTCTAATCGACAACTCAGCCCATTTCCAGTTTCTGGCTCATATTCTTCCGTTTTAATAGGTATGGCAAACGTGTAAAACGGTTCTACAGCTAAAACTGATATATATTGTTTTATGCGCTTTTCATAAGTAAAATATACAAAATAATAATTGATACAGATTTTTTATTTGATTAAATGAACGACTTAAACACAATTACTGACAAAATAGCAATCTGTATACAAAAACAAATTTATAGGTTATACAATAATGCATACTTTCCAATTCTCCGCAATAGATCGATTCCAAAGCCTCGATCTCATTGCGTTGTTCTTCTTTATAGTCCATATTATTTGAAATTAAATTAATTTACTAAAAGAGTGTTAAGTTTCGTATTCAATTGATAACTTCGAACAAATTCACGAAATCATATTACAATCGTGACAGCAGCGGTAAGGGGCGCTGTACCCAGCTGTACCACGAATAAGATATTTACACTTATTTATATGTACATACATAGACTGATTGAACAATGGAAATTTCTGTCCTTCTACGATACAAAAGTCTTACTCGATCAATTTCGAATCATTACTAGGATCATAAAATGTAATCATAAAATTTGAATTAATAATTTAAGGGGAACGATACAATACGGTTTAAAATAAAACCGATGGCTTCAATAAGCCAGAATCCAGATAGCACATGACGCCTTGAAGACGACTTAAAGGCGCCTTAGACCTACAATAGCCGTAAAATAGGTGTCTTCAAGGCGTCATGTGCTATCTGGGAATAACCTTTATTCCAGTGTCAATCAGTAAAATATCAACTATTCTTTATCGTAAAAAGTATTTACTTCTTTTGGCTTTGAGTCTAAGGTCTCCTCTTTACTTATTAAATACAAATTTACTTGTTTAGGTATCAAAGCAATATTAATTATTAACTTTCCAGTAGCACCGGATATAAAAAATTGAAAGAAATGAATTTTTCTCACAATCAATATTATACTGTTTATTTGAAAAGTACATAGTTTTTGTTAAGTTTTTAAGATGGCATTAGAATTTTATTATATCTTACTCGCATATTTAAAAAATGATGTGATATTTTTCGTTATAAAATAAAAAACAGATTTTCTAATGAAATTTTGTAATGAAAACAACAACTTTTAATGTTTGAAATCATAAAAATACATTGAACATTTTATTAAAATTAAAAGTTAAAATGGTTCTATTAATTTTTGAATAATTTTAATTCCTATACACGAAAATTACATTGAAAATTAAGTACTAACATAAGTCAAAACTTTAGTATTATAATGCCTACATGTAAATATAAAAAAATGAATAGTTTCTTACAAAGATTAATGAATATTTTTTAAATTGGAATATATTATCTAACATGTATTTCGAAATTTTATTTTATCTGACATTTCTGCCGCAATTTCGATTGAACGATACATAGATTTCCGTAATAAATTCGAGGGAAGAATTTCAGTGAAGGTTATTCTAATTGTGTTTAAGAGATACTAAGAATTTGCTTGCTCTAAAAATATACTAACAATTCCGTTCTTGCGTATAGTCAAACAGCAATAATCAGATGCATGCAATAAATTTTTACTATTTAACAAACATTGATTTTAGAACGAAGCTTAACTTAGGCTTGATATTTTTCGGAAAGATACTTACAAGACAAGATGAAGAAAAATAAGTTGGACGAACAAAGTAACGCTCTTATTGCATTTACTTTTCTCTCGTACTTCAATCAACTTGATCAATATTGTTAGTACTACATGTTCCATGCTAAGTAAAATTGAATTTTCTGCTATTAACGAGTGCACTGTAAGTTTGTTAACGTTCGAAATTATGGTGTAAGCTATTGTCATTATGTATTTAATTATATTCGTACTTTATTGAACAGAAGTTACTATAATAGTTGAGTATTTTAATGTTTTTTTAGTTTCTCTATAATAAAGATATAAAAGACAAAAGCAAAATTTTTCAATAGTAAATAGTTAATAAGCATTCGTACTTAATTTATCATAAGGTACAATAAATTGCAATATTCAAATTTTATTTATTTATATGCGCCTATTTTATGTAAATGTAGAAATCAAGCATAGTAATGTTGCTTTTAACAGTTTTCTCATTCTGGTATTATAAGAAAGATTTCGTATACAAAATCAAATGATTAACTTTTTACAATGTTTCAAACAAAAATGGCAAATAATTCTGAAAATACGTAGTGTTGGGATAAATTTCCATTCAACCTTTGTATTAATATAGATATAAATTTACTAGAAGATTCATTAAACGTTCTTAAAATATTTTTAGGAATAATTATTATTACTAGTAAACTGTAATAATTGAGGTAATTGCAAAACAAGGATCAAAATGTTAATAATTAAGCGTTCCTTTAGACTATGTTTCTTTGACCTTGAGTTAATATTAAAAATTTTCAGCACACTCCACAATAATGTTATCTTATATATTAAAAAGGTCGTGATTACTAATGTATATCATACATTAAGTAGCATTACAGACTGAAAATCAGGAAAATGTGTTAATTTTTATATGATTGCAATTCTATAATGAACTTGGTATTCAATAGTTGCGCCTGCAACATTAAGATAAACAGTACCTACTATTCATTTGAACGATTCGATGCAAGTTCTATAAATCGTCCAGGACCATAATCTCCAATAGATTTTGGTCCCGATAGAAATCCATACAAGTGGGTCATACGACGAACTTCTTTTCATGGGGCCAGTGGAAAACACCGTATTAACGCCCAAAACATTCGAATCCCATTATCTTATCTACGGCATCGATTTGTAACATTTGAAAGAAAGTAACCCCAGGACCATTTTGTCAGCGCATTTTCCACAACCGTGTTGGTAGCGCGCAAAAGCTTGCGGTGCAAATTTAACACGGCCACATACCGTTAGGTGGCCAGGAAAGCAGGCAAGAACGGAACGCAATCAATACGGTCACAGAACGCGAGGGTGCCTCGTGCGTGGCAGCTCCGGCCGAGCTTTCAGTCGGACGTACGGTCGCGACGAAAGCTCACGAAGCTCACTCGCTCGTTCACGCGTGTCCTGTCGCGTTGCATCGTATCATCGGAAGGTTTCTATACGGGGGTGGTGGAGTTATAGCTGGCTACAAAATGGCGTCCACGATGCCAAACAAATGACTTCGCATGAAAAGCTCGCCGCAAGTTCGACCTGATCCGTTGACACGTTGGTTCCATAGAAATCGTTTCATCCAAAGCGGTTCGTTCGCATGCTCGACGAATTATACGCGAAGACATGGTCTGCATATAGGACACTTGAACGCCTCTGATCGCGAGATTTCGCTGGAAACAATCGGTTGTACCAAATCGAGAAAATCGGTGCAAGATACTAGTACTATGATCCAGTCATTTGTCCTGTGTTTGGCCAGAAACGCGTGAAGGAGTTTGGCCGCTAGTACGATCATCGACCTAAGATCTTCAGACCCAAGAATACTAATAGGGGACTAATGGTATTAGAGGGTCGCGTGTGGTGCTCCTTCTTAGCTGAGTGACAATCGCGATTTGGGTGCGGGTTTCGATGGCTTGACGAATAATTCCAACGTCCATCGTGATCCAGTTACACGATCATGCATTTGCATTTCGAGAAGAACAACAATGCCAAGTGCGACTGCAACATCCTGTCGCTTAGCTGGATGGGCAAGGTACCGGACGAATCACCGGAGGTAGGTGATTTGTTCTTTACAAGGTTATTGAAAATTGCGGTGCGTTATTAGAGCGGTACGGTAATACCAAATAGCGTGTTATTAGACGTAGAACTGTAATTTCCCATGTGGCTCGCATCATGCTGAAGCGGTGGGAGGGAAAGAACGGATCGTTTATTACGATTGAATTGTGTGTTCTTTGTTTGGAAAGTAAACTCGATTGGTCGTAAAGATTCCTTGTTATAACAACGACGATACGATGCAATATTGGAAGGGGAAAATATTCGAAAATTGTTAGACGTATGTGCGGATATTAACAATGAACCAATAATACCGCGCGATAAGGTTGCGTTAGCGGTAGCTAATTCAGCAACGTTGAGTGACGTAAACGCCGACACGTTTTTGGATTTGTTAGCCTTTTTCATTCTGTAGCCATTTTACCGATGAATTTTTAGATCGTCGCGACAGAGACCGTAGTTATCTTAGAAATGCAGATGCTAAAGATGATCAGGAACGTCGCTTTTCAACGCGACGCGTGTCGTAGAAACTGTAGACAATAGCCTGAAAGGAGACAATAGAGCTACACCATTCGGTCTGCCTCCGTATTATGTTTTATATTCAAGTTGTGGGAAAAGTGACATCTAGAACTGAAAACTACCATTAAATGTAGGCATTGGTCATTGATTTAGTACGACGTTTGCAACTCTCAATCTTGGAAGTTTTGTGCGATCGTGCGTTTAAGAAGTTTGACGGAAATGTTGAATGGAGTTACTATATTCTGTGTAAATTGGTTAAACAGTCATTTCCTATTGGACAAGGAATTACAGTTGGCTGTTTCTTATTTGTAGTTGAATACAATTTGATGCAAACTTGTAAATTTCCATGTAGGTACTGATTTGTTACTCAAGTGTTATGCTTTTTTAAAAGCCTTTTGTAGAAGCGTAATGGAAAATAAAGTATTGTGGATTAAATAGTATTATACCTGTTTTTGAAAAAAAGGACACAGTTTTTAGAGAGTAGTTAGTGTCTACTTAGTCTATTAAAGTTTTTCAGAGAAGCATAGAAAATAAAATTCCGTCTAATTTAAATTATATTAATTTCTAAATGTAAATCAATTTAATTATTTGTGGTGTTAGAAGCTTGATGAAATAATAGGGGTCTATATGGCTTCAAATAATTATATTAACGCACTAAAACCGAAGTCAGTTGAAAGTTGTGTGGAAAGAAATATACTAATGATCAGCAAAGGAGGATATTTAATTTTATCAAATCATGCGTAGGCCTGTTTCAGCACAGCTATAGATCTAAGCATACATATAAATTTGCAACTTAACTATCTTAGGAAGTATAAAATAAATCTAAAATATCATTGCAACTTTTAAGAATAACTGTTTTTGGTGGATTTGTTCGATTGGAAGGGGTGTATATTACGATTGATAGAACATCTTTCCAAAGGTCATTTCTTCGAAATTTCAGTCATCCGAATTTTCTTCTTCCTTTGGAATAATTTTTCGATATAGTATTTTATAGTAAATTACGCTTTTGTTAACTTCAATATTTTTCCCAGAATAGAAGGTATATCGTTATCTAATTATTGAAATGAACCTGATTTCTCTTAAAAGCAGCATAAAATCTGTGATTGAATCTGTTTGCAAGAATACTCACTCATTGCCTTTCATATTGTTACAACAAGTGCTCAAAGTTGTCGGTCTGGACTTCATCGAAACATCTTCAGAAACGATAAGGTAGTGTGAAACGTGCAACAGAAATAGTTTCGGAGAAATGTGAACACTAGCACTTTTCTAATATCAGTCATGATTCTGCAGAGATAAAGTAATTTATCATGTTCACAATCGAAGAACAACTTGGGATATTCTTAATTTATAATGAATATAAAAGAAATTTGTAGCAATTTTTCACGATCAAAGTTATTTCATGGTCATAAAAGTATAGCATGCTGAATTTTTCATAGAATACTCTACAATACTATCTAGAAAAAAAGGTCTTATGCAACAAAAAAATGCAGATAACCTTGAAATCTCAAAAAACGTCAATTTTGGAAAGGTGTTCTATCAATCGGAATTGAATAATTTCACTAAAGACAATTTACTTCGTGAAGGTGTGACACGTTCGGGAAACCGTTCAGCATACAAACGGACCGCATCTCTTACAATTTGGTGACATTCCCCATAAACAAAAACCATATCTACTTTCTCCGCTATTTAATAACGCATTTCGGAAACTTGAGATACACTTCGCTCGGCAGAGATTCTCATAAACGACTAATCATAGTATGTACAGATGAAGCGTACAGCGTGATTGAATGTTTATTTTCATTCAACGACCCATAACAAGAAATTACGAGACAGAGATGAAGTAATAATATCAACAATAGTTTTTTTTTCTCAAAATAAATTAATTTCCATCACAATAGGCTTAACCCAGACCACGAATGACCTTTCCAATAGGTCATTGTATTCGTTTTGAAATACTCTATCAGAATGTAAGTAAAAAAACATACCGTTCCATTTAAGAAAACAGAAATGACCTTCATATCTCCTTGACGCCTCCACCTATCAAAAAACTAGTAACATCGGATGATCAGCCCCTCGATACCAAATAATTTTGGCCTCGTGCATTTTTTCCTATCACCAATACCAGCCAAGTTATTCAGGTCTGGGTTAGGTCTGGAGAAAACTATCCTATAACATCAAAGACCGTACTGCGTTCGATTAGGGAGCTCCCACGATGCTATGCATTATCGTATCGCAATCCAGCCGAAGTAAAAGAAAAACAAAACAGAATTCTATATATACCTCTAAATTATTATAGATACCTAGTTCATAAAAAAAATGTAACGGTTCTTTCCTATTTCCTATCCTTCTGTAGTTATTACTAAGCTATCCATTAATTGCATTAACGAACTACTTAACATTTTTTATTAAAAACAATAGTGTTTCGTTACTAATAAATTTCGTCCAGCGTACGTATAATCAGAACCACAGTTACACATAAAAAGTTCGTCGAAGTTAATCGTTCTAAATGTTTACAAAAAATGAAACCGATGTACACTAAAAACCAAATAAGACCATAACTGCGAAATGACGAATTTCGGTCTTGTCTGCGCATATTCCTCTCGGTTACCTTACTTACCAACGTCTTAAACAATTGAGCATCATTATGCTTCGTGTAGCTTCATACAGTGACTGTGAAGTACAAACGTGCCATTCAAAAGTATTCATTTCTTGAGAAATACTTGATTGTGTCACCCGGTGTATGACAAATTCTATCGTCCCTGTTACAGAAAGCGAGAAAGTGGGGTAAGCAGGGGTTCGAGAGACCTCTTATGCTCATTCAAGATGCGCGAAACAGTTATGCTCTTATTTGGCGTTTAGTGTAGACCGAAATGTCTTCGAGGGTCGTCGCCCATGCCTAAACCATCAATGGATCATGACAGTCCACATTGTCAGTCATTACTCGAGTTCCTCGTTCAACCCACACGAGGAACACTCCAAGAAGTCACGTATTAGGGCAAAGCAGCGAACGAAGTCGTCGTTTCAACGCGACTTTGTCCCTCGCACGGAACAAAAAGTTCCAACGTGGGCGTAGAGATATAAAACCAGCAGTCGGAGTACAGGGCCGTCCAGGGATTAATTATCGAAGTTGTTTCGTTAGACGCGAGCGCTGCGTGATTTCCGGCGGAAACCTGCCGCGGAATATTTCGAAATGAAACACACCGCCGATGCGAGGACGAGCGCGCACGTCTAATAAACAAAGCGGAAACGCGACGCCAGACAAAACAGAGGATTTTTTACCGTGTTTCTACGAGCCTGGAGGGGGCGTTCGCGCGACTCCGTTGGGATTTCGACGTTTGGCGAGCCCAGTTAATAATACCCGGGGTGAGAGAAAGAGAGAGAGGGAGTTTTCGAGACCGCATCAAAAGCGGGGTGGAGATTGGAATCCGTCAGGGTGAGGCGGATCCGTCGGCGTGGAAGCGGCTTAGGAGTCGAGGGTAGCCAGGAAAATTCGGAGGGTTCAGACGAGGCGAACGTGTTTGGTACGTTCCCCGAGCCGTACACGGGTGAAGATGAAGTTCGTGCTCGGTGTCTCGATTAGATCTTTTCAGCGGTCTGAACAGCGGTTCGCCGCGAAGCTTTTCCTTTTCGCCCCGGCATTGTCGCGCCCTGCACTTCTGCACGACTTACGTAGGCACGAGTGGCACCGAATGACACTGAAGTTGAACCAGCAACGGCGCGGGACAACAAGGAAAGATTACGTTTGCCGCGGTGGGAATGCCACATTTATCGATTCTCAATGCCTCCACGTTGATGCACGCTTGTAGGAACCGCGCCAAATTTACAAGAACATTTCCGTGTCAGAGGTCACCCGAAGGTCGTGTCGCTTTGGGTTGCTGAATACCTTTCGATGTCGTTGGTGGTATTAGGAGGGAATTATTTTTGGGTAATCATTGGATTGAACGGAACGTTTTTACGCTCTCGTTTTCATCGTTTAGTCTGATAATCGATCATGTACTTGCTTTATAGTCGTATTTTGAGTTTCCTGGTTCTCTTCTCGCTGTAAAATCGTCCGAAATTGTCGGGGGAAATACGTGGTCATTAACTAAGTTCTGCAGGCCGCTCGTAAGTGGTGGTAGGGTACACTTTTTTTGTTTCGCAAAAACTGACCATTCTACTATAACGAAGTACATCGATAAGTTCAATGTTGTAGTAAAAAACATTTGCCTATTTTGATTTAACATGATATCTGACAAAAAGCATATCTGTCATTATATTTTGCTGTTTTTTAATATGAAGAAAACCGCAGCACAAAGAAACGGTTGATTAAAAAAGTTTATGGTAGTGGAGTTGTAGCTGCAGACACTTTTGAGAGATGGTTTCAACGATAGAAAAATTGCAATTTCAACTTAAAGGGTAAAGAATGCGTTGGATGTCCAGTAGAAATGGAAAATAATGTTTTGCAAGTGTTGTTGAACAAAGACCCGGTCCAATCGACTAGTGAAC